GATGGAGAAGAAGAGGATGGGGTAGAGCGAAACAATGAGCAGGGTAATCCCAAGTGCATAGTAAGTAATGATTTGAATGATAGTCAGGAGGAGAATTGATCAGATTTCTTGTATGCATTGATGCGCAACAACAAGCAGAGTGTCTCTGAAGAGGACGGCACTCATTTGAAGGATGATCTGGAGGATGGGACAGAAGTATTTTTCTGTTTCTTGATCTTGATTAGTTATGAGTTTGGATGATTGTTCAGGTTCTTGATTAGTAGCTCTTGTTCTACTATACTGTTTTACGTTCAGTCTTGAGTTAGGTGCTATTTTTCAGAATTGGTTGATGTAAATTTTAGTCAAGAATTTTCTGGCTTCATGTATGTAACATTTGAGAAGGAGCAATTTGTTCAAAGCATCAGAAAGGTGAAATCAAGTTTCATTTCCAGTTACAAATATTTTGATGTTTCCTACGAGATTTGATCAGATTTTTTTGATGGAAGCATGCATGTTTGTGCAATTTTTTATGTATAGCAAAATTCATATGTTTGCTGTATATGCAATAGTTGCCAAATTACTCTTATTTGTTCCCCGTCATTGTGGATGATGTCCTTCAGTGATTGCAGGTCAAGCTCCCGATGAAAAACATGCTTCATCCATTGTGATAAGCATTGGCCTTTTTGAAATAGGTCTGACCGATAGTGTTTAATGTAAAGTTAAGAATATGCATCTTTTGATTAATAGTGCATTTCATTTTATTTTTCCTGCAGGTTATGGTCTTACTTTCTTATTTCATTTATAGTCGACCTTGTTCAGCTATGATTTTCAGAGAAAATGATATGTCACTGGACATTCAGTTTTTACCTTCTTCGTCTAACATAGTGGTAAAACATGAGCTTTAGGTAGCTAGGTCCATCTTAACGGAAGTGGCTGTGCAGCCTAGGCTTTCAAGTTCATGACTCTGTTACAAATACATCACAGCTAGGCTTGAAGTTCATGACTCTGTAACAAATACCCGGAAGATAACAGCCAATTAAGCCCCAAATATCTCAAACACACACACACACACACACATGTTAGTTAAGCAAAAGTTCTAAATGTTAGTAGTATCAAGACAAAGGACCACAGATAGGGTATACAGCAATTACAGAGTAAAGACACTACAAGCATATCAGAACATATTTTGATCATCTCTGTAATTTCAGGTCAGAAGTATTGGAGTGAGCCTAACTAGTTTAGAAAAAATAAGGTGAACTTCATGTCCCTGTTCCTAGTCGGGGATGGAACATGGTTATCAAGTGCCTGGGGTCATAAAGTGACACAGTAACTTTTAAACATGAAGGGATGACGACATTTCCGTAGTAAATTTACATGCATATTCATGTGCATTTGCCTATGTAGTTCCATTAGCAGCATGAGAACATGTATGAAACCGCATGTATAAGAAGGAAATAGATGGATACATGCAGAAAAGCATGTATTCTTGCATTCATCATACGATATGCTTAGAAATGTTATCACAATTTTTAGCAAAGTGTGAAAAGTGAATGTGAAAGTTCCAGCATGTACAAAGTAAAGAAACATGATGAATAAACATGCACGCACGCCCACCTCCACGCATGAACGCACACGTGCATGCTGGATATCATGTGTTGTATGGTAGTATCCGATCTGCACATCGATTTTCTATAACCCTGGAGAAGTCTCCTGTCTTGATATTGTACAAAATCACTGTATCCTCATAGTGAAAGACCGACCTCACCCTCATGTACAGCTTCTCTCCACCGTAAAATGGTAGAGGCAACAACTTGTTCATGTAGAACATGCGTTCTACCTTCTTACCCTTCCTCATCAGCAGCAGGCCCAACGGTAGAAAGAAGGACTCGTTATCCACAATCATCTGAAGATTATTCACCTTGTATATCTGCTCCCAATTGCCATTGTTGTTCAACAACCACACTTGCACATGGAATCCACATATTTTCGTGTATGTCAGTTGATCCTTACACACTCCCATCTCATTGAAATTTAAGCCAGGTATATTTTCAGGTAGTGTTATGATTGTGCAAACATCTTCCTCAATGTTGAATGACATCAACTGATTGGAGCATTCCCAGTATACAACTCCTTTGACATATATGGATTTCCCAAGCTTGATGAAGTCTCGGATAGTAACTTTTGCATTGGTTGAAACCCACTTGCTAGTGGTTGACGAGAAGATCACAAATCCAAAGGTGAGTATATGACGACGGCTTGCACGAGTACTCTCGCAATCATGACGGAGCTTGACAGGATGGATGATTTTGTAGTCTGTAGACGAGGTTTTTGACTCGAAAGCCAAAGCAACGGAGTTTACGCAGCCACCGCTGTCAGGGATGACACGGCCCTCGCTTGTTAGAGGATTGTGAACATATAAGAAACTATGGTTGATGGTATTATTCTCCAATTCAAGGCAGAGGAGGCCATTGGTAGAGCTGATGAGCCTAGCTCGATAATCATCATTAGGCAAGAAGGAGTTGGGATATGATTTGCAAACCGTGATTCCAGGCGTAGTGATTGTGTACACAAGCGTTTCATCTTTGCCAACTGAGACAAGTTGGTAATTTGGGAGGAACTTGAGATTGTTCCACTTCTTGCAGACGCACTTGAATCTGCAAAGCAATTTGTAAGGAAGCCGCGGGAGGATTTCACAGAGGATCAGTTCCTCCGGGATCATGCAACCTGCAATTACCGGAGCTGATGCTGGCGATGATGGTTCTCTCTTCTGCTTCTTTGTTTTCGTCGTAGCAGAAAACTCATCATCGTCCATGGTTTAGGGTAGCTGCGTGTAGCTAGGCTTCTGATATTTAATTATAAAGCCTGGGACTCCCTACTAATTACCCTCCTTGCATGTTAATCCTCAGCTTGAATATGAGATCAGTAATTTGGATATGAGGAGAGAATTGTTGTTCTGTTAATAAAATTTTAATTTGAGCAAAACGGATATTTTGTTTTCCTTGAATTTTATTCAAAAGCGACATCTTTTTAACTGCTAGTTTTTTTTTTATCTACATACCCGTAAACTGTACGGCGCCCCCCCCCTTAAGTTTATCCTTTAGATCATCGTATTTACAAATTTGCCTTATTTACTGTTACATTGTGGACGATTGTGGGTTATTCGTCACCGAGGCAAACCTTGAAAGAAACCACGTTCCTACCCTCTACTAATATGTAGCGAGGCAAAGATGAGGACAGAAAATGAATTTTGCCTTAATTATGTACAGAATCCACCCAACATCAAGGGGTGATTAGTCAAATAGAACTCAAAACTAAAAATAAGATAATTTTTAGGATAAAACTTTGTAGTGTTAGTCAATTAGAATTAAAATTAGAATAAAATTTTACAGTGTTAGTCTACTAGAACTCTGACAAAACTAGAACTGAGATAATTGTACAAAATTATCCCACTTTTTTTATTTTTTCTATACAAAAATGAGAGTTCTAGTCTCTCAAATTATGCTAAGTTTTAGATTGGAACTAGATGGTAAATAACTAGAACTCCTATTTATTTTATTATTATTTTTTTTATATTTTTCTTCTTCTTTGCTACTATGTCCATCACCATCATTAGGTCATGTCATCAAATCAGACCCTGCACCGTGTGGGGTTTTGATAGCCACACAGGGGGTCAGTAAATAACAGAACTGCCCCCTTGGTTGCCACTAGATGTGGCTCAGAACCTCCCGCATGGTGTAGGAGGTTCCCCTTACTCTCATTTGTCTGTGCGCGCGCTTTTTTTTCAAACCCATAAATAGTCTATGATTTCATATATCAAATATATTTGTAATCCTACAAACTTGTTTCACAGAAAATTGTTGGAAATTTCCAAGTTTGCTTTCTTGAATTTTTTAGCTTTTATTTTTGTATCCTAGAAAGAGAATGAAATTTTGTCTCCTTCTTTATTTTACTAACGTAAGCATGAAACCACGACAGACTCTTAGAATGGATGATTCATCCCATTCTTATGAAGGAATTCTTGATAATACTTAAGCGTTAAACATGAAATAGCAGGAGAGGACATTTAAAAAAAGCTCGAAAAAAAAATCTCTATGAACTTTTCTATGCCTCGTAGGGCCCAGTTTTTCTAAGGCTTGATTTGGCCTTTAAACTGGTTTGTTTTGGATTTAGATTCTCTCCAATTAGGTGGTAATTGAAAAGACTTCAATTCCTCTAGTTAATGCTATATATTCTGAATTCAATGGATAAAATTATGTCATATAAAACTCCACTATTATGATCGTAGTTTTCAAAGAATAGTGTTTTCCAAAAAAAAATAGAGGTTTTCAAGGACATAGTAATTTTATATCGTGGCTTAATCTTATCTCTTGAATTTGGAATATATGATAATGATATCACCTAATTGGAGAGGATCCGGCTCCTTTTGTTTTGGTCCACCTCCCCCTTGATAAAAATAGAAAAAAAAGATTTATTTTATGACAAGGCTATGGCTAGCTCCGGCCAAATTTTAGGGTAGTTGCCAAGCACTGAGTACTAAAAGCTCAATTCATAGAAACTCTCTTCATTACAGGATATGACAGTTGCAGTCGATCTAATTTATATCGTTGCTGTACTTCTTAAGGTAAACCGGAGGAGGAACAAAACTGGGGAGTATATAACCAAGAAATTCTTAACCAAATTTCTTGTTTTTTATTGTGAACCTAATGACTATGATCTAAATTATTTAGATTAATGCCCCAAGGACCCAAAATATAGGACCAAATGGTGGGACAGGTGATGTGTCCCTCCTTTATTGGTTAATGAGCTGGCCATGCCAGCTCATTAACCAATAAAGGAGGGACACATCACCTGTTCCACCCAATGATCCCATATTTTGGGTCCCCGTAGCAGCGCTCAATTATTTAACATGTGCAGATTTCTACTTGAAACTTTTGAGGAATAGGAGGCATGTTATTCACCGTTCACCAATAAGAACACCAGACAAAACATAAGCAGGAGAACTTTGGGCTACTATTCCATAGTTCACACATAAATAATCCTTCTTTATTTTTATTTTTTTTGGCCCGTGGTCTTCTTATAGTTAATCTACATATGTACACATAGCAATATCAAAGACATCAATTTGACTTCATAACAACTACTAATCTACAACTCGTCTTCGAATTTCTTCACATCAAAATCGTTCTCAACCCATGCAGCATAACCTCCTCCCATGTTCTTCACATTCTTGAAACCCTGCAGAATTGAAGAGCAACTTAGTTAAGATCACATCCCATGTGATGAAGAAAAACCAAAAAAATGGGAGCTAGCCATGCATGTCAAATATTATTTAGCAAATTTCCATTTCATCAGATCGTTTGTAATGACTTATCTCTGAAAAATTAGTTACGAAACAATTAATAGAGAATGAAAGAGGCAATTTTTTTACCGCCAAACTACCACCTTGATACATTTTGCATGTACTGACTCTTATAATGGTGCATACAGTTACTCCTAAAAACTTATGCAGATTGCTAGTTTCTTTGATGTGAAAAACCACATTTACTTCTAGAAGTTATTATCAAATATTCTGCAGAGAGAAAAATTATCCCTAGCAAAGGATAGGAAATTAAAAGCAACCGATACTCACAGCTTTGAGAAGATCAGTTGATGCTTGTAATGATCGCACCCCACATTGACATCCCTTCAAAAAAAAAAGGCATTGAAATTATGCAAGGAAAACTAAAGTCAGCACTCAGCTTAAATTATTTTGTCAGAATAACAAAAAATATTTATTAACCAAGAAAACAAGAGCAATGAACTTCAGTTACCACAACTATCTGATCTTCATTGTTGCAGACCAACGAGACCTGTTCAACAAAGTCCGGGTTCTTCACCTTTCCTGATTAATTATATATAGTAGTATCACTCACATTGTTAGAAACGTCGTAAATTAACAAAGATCATGTAGATAACTTAAGGCAGGAGCACTTGCCTTCTGGAGTGAAGAACCAATAAGGAACATTGAGTGAATTCTCTAGGTGGCCCTTCTTGAATTCCTCCACAGTCCTTCAATAAAATCCAAAAATTATTAGCAATTTTAACAACAAAAAATTATTGGGTGAGAAAAAATGGTCAACCTGACATCTAAATAACAGTGGCCCGAAGAAATGAGGCCTTTGGCTGAGTGAACATCCACGGTAACAACTTCTTCGGTGTGAGGCTTGCCTGAAAAAAAAACATGAGCAGTGTGATCATTTGATTGTCAAATGAGGTTGTCCTGCATCTAGGCGCATTTCCTAAAAGGAAATTAGTACTGGTTGGTATTAGAGTAGACCAACATTTGTAGACTATAGCTTTACTGAAAAGAAAAAGAATTAAAAAGACTATATCAATGCGAACCTATGCATCTTATAACTTGATTGTTGGTCACATATTTGCCTCACTAATGCTAATAACAGCATGTGTATCCTAAACTTTTGTTCATGTTCTTCTCTTACCTCAAAATGGAAAAAGAATTACTTAGCCATCTCTACTTGGTGCTAGCATACCGTGTAATTTGAGTTCAAGAATTGAAATAAAACATATGAGGTTAAGTCCTAAACATATCAAATATAGATAGAAACATGAACAAAATTTTGAACTACTTGATGTTTCCTCTTCAGGTTTCTTCACAGGAAATCCATTTTCCAACCACGCAGCATATCCACCTCCCACGTTTTTCACATTCTTGAATCCCTGGAAAAGTTTTAAGTAATGGTTTTAAATTGACATGCTAGTATACTTCCATATGCACAGAGGAAAAGAGAGGGATACAACTATCAAAAGAGAGAGATATAACTTCCGTAGTATCAGTGTGTTAACCTGAGCTTACTACCCCTCTAATTCTATTGTCACAAATAGACCCTTGGGAGCGAAACTTTTTAACTCTTTTAACCTCAGGTAGTTTTCAAAAAAAACATTTTTTTTTCCTTTCTTTGGGGGGTAAAAAAATTCAAAACAAATTCACTCAGACAACAAAACTAGAGTAGTAAGTTGAAAGCCATGTTATTAAGAGGGTTTATCCACGATAAATCATATATAAACATGTGATGGGCAACATGCATTAGCTTTTTTAGGCGGTTATACAATTTTCGAGAAATAATCAAACCCATTTAGGACTAAACTTATAAATTTATGGGTTAATTTCATAAA